GTTGTTTGAATTGACCAGCTGCTCCATCAGAGAAAAAGTTTATTTCCTTCAGATTAGGAAGAACAGTATTAAGGCGATTTAAAATAATTTCCAAAGCTGAATTAACGACAAATTTATCGTGTGTTACACCAAGGGAAGGTAGAGCAAACGACAGTCCATGACTTTTAGACCAAGCATATGTTGTAAAGATAGACAAAGTTTTTGTATTCCAATGAGCAGGCTGTATCTCATCTTGTTCTTTCATATCAAAGTTTTCTGCGAAATCTGCCTGACATACCACCTTTTCATCCGTCACTTCCAACTTCAGTTTTTCGAAATATTTGCTCTGTTCACGTTTGATGTAGACATGGAATAAGAACTGCTCCGTCTTGGATTTCAATAATTTCATTGCCTCATCGACACTGCCACTAAATGCCTTCTTTTCAGCACGACCATTTTCATTCACCCAGTGGAACCAATTAATTTTAGCATTGCCGTCTGTTACATTATTTTCAACTTTTTCTGTAAAGAAATCTTCACAAAGTGGACAAGCCGCAAACATACACTCTTGATTATTACAATTACCGACTAAAGAATCAGTAAAGATTTGTAGAGATGAACATACTTTTCCATTAACATATTTATCTAATGATTTCAAAAGTAAGTTTATGTTCTCATGGTATACATACACACAAATGCGATGAGCCAAAGCAGCCTTTGGAACAACAAAAGCTGGACGCAATTTAGCAAAAGAAGCACGACTTAAATTAACATTTTTGTTCTCCTCTTTGAATACTTCATAATTTTCACGTAAATCATTGAACAAAATTCTTTTTTGATGTGTTGTTCTATTACTCAATTCATCCTTTACAACAATCGTATCGCGTTTACCAGGTAATTGATATGAAATATCATCACGAATATAAAAACTGTGAATAGCTTTTTTCAGTTTATCAGAAATTTCAAGAGAGGAACGCTGGTGTGTCGGTTTAGGAATTATGCCAAACTTTTGAGCAAGATGTTGAACAATTACTTTTTTCTTTTTATCACATTTAGGAAGAGCAGATGTTACTTTTTTTAGTGACTTGCCAAAAGACTGACGAGTTTTAAATGAAGATGGAGCAGGATTATTAGTTAAACGTTTAATTTTATTGGCTCGACATTTTTGTTGACAAGAATTATTTTTGGCACGCCATCGTGTTAATTCTGCTGCTGTTAACTTTGCTTTAGCTGAATTATTACGAATACGAGCTTTTTTTTTCTGTTCTTCATACTTAACTTTATCTTTCTTAATTTTCTCTCGATACTTTTTCATTTTCTCGGCAGCACTCTTAGCCATTACAAAAAAGTGAACAAATCCTAAGTTACTTATCTGGAATATAGACAATACGTAAAGTGATAATACAAAATAAAGTGGAAAAAAATTGCCGTAACTTTTTTGTTTAAGTGAAATCTTTAGATGGAAACAAAAAACACTGTGAGAACAGTCGGGTATATATAGTGTGTGAACTGACAAAACAAAGAGGTGAAAGGAAAGAGACCGGTAAGTCATACTTAAAATGAGTCACTTTTCTCGTCTTGAGGCCTCAGATTTGCGCGTATAAGCAAAAAAAGACATCATTCGGAGCAGAATTTCACGGCGATTCCGAATATGTATATATGATCGAGTTTTGAGTTAGTCACGGCGAAAACAAATAGAAAATCAACAAAGCCGCAAACTACTAGAGATCTCTATCACTGTTTCGAGCAAGGAAGGACTCAAAGCGAGTTTAAACTTTGTGTGAGCGTTCTTCCTTGTTTGTGCTATCGAAACAAGCAGCCAATCACAAACTAGAAAAACCACCAACAATCATGTTTTTGTCACAGCGTTACCGCTATCTGGCTCCAGATGCGAGTTTTTGAGAAAAAAAATAGAGCACTAAAATCGCCGTGGAAAGCTGGCTATAGTCCACTACTTTTTAAAATGAAATGGTGAATTGCTTTTACTAAATTTTTTAGAAAAACGTCTTTTGGTAACTCTGTGACAGGCGAAATTATCAAGTATTGTTTTGCCCATACCTCAGTGAGAAAGAAACGCAAAGACTTCAGTCCAGCGTCAAAAGAAAGGCCGTACTTGATAATCTAAAAAAGAAATACATTTCTGACACTTTCGACTATGCTCTACAACCTGGCATAAACGGTTTTATTTACTTTTGAAAAAAATACTTAATCAGCGAAGCGTCGCGTTAGGTGGACAAGCCGTCAGGAAGACATGCGTCATGTCTCTGCAACAGTTTGAAACAGACGCCAAGAACAAGCTGCAACAAGGGAGTTGAACAACCGGACATCGCCACACTCATCCATGGTCAGCAGATCGAAACAGTCGACTTGTTCACCTATCTCGGCTGTATCTTATCGAGCGACCAGAGCTCCGACAAGGAACTAGAGGCACGATTGAAAAAAGCTACATCAGCTTTCAACATGTTGCGGGCAGTTATCTGGTACAGGAAGACAATCTCGAGAGGCAAAGCTCAGATATTTCCGGGCATGCATATTGCCAGTTTTTCTGTAAGGAAGTGAAATATGGATACTTACGGCTACACAAGAGAGTCGAGCCGGTACGTTCTACATAGGATGCCTACGAACAATCCTTGGCCTGAATCTTGGAGATCGTGTGCCAAATGCAACAATCCTTCAGCTATCTGGTCAACGAGGCACCGAAGATCTAATACGCCGTAACAGATTGAGGTGGTTCCGCCATGTAAATAGACTAGAAATGGAAGCATATCACCGGACTCCGAAATTTTCAAACGCGATTAGAGTCCGGGGGATCCCCCGGACTCTAATCGCGTTTGAAAATTTCAGAGTTCGGTGATATGATGAGTTTTCCTCACTGGTGAAGAACATGATGTATTCCTACTTTGCTGGCAAAGAACGACCAGGAAATCCAAGCATAATGAAGAGGTGGGAAACCAAGGTCTTTGAAGATATGGAAGTTCTCGGGATCGCTAACTGGAGACGAGCCACTCTCGACAGAACCAGCTGGCGGGAATTTATCAACAGACGAGTTATTAGGCAACCAGTTCACGGAAAAATCCAAGAGATCGTCCACGAGTTCAAGATCGCACCTGGAAATCGGAGAGCGAACGAGGCAGCCGATGCCAGGGGCCACGGAAAGAAGAAGGTCACGGAAGTCCTGGTGAAAGACGCAGATGGGCTCTACACCTGCCCGAATACCAACGATTGTTCAAGCCAGACACGTCCGATCTTGTGCATCGGACCGGTGCAAGAAGAAAAGAATCATTATGGCTATCGCAAGCGCCAAGTGAAAACAAGTTGGAGCGAGAACAAGGAACCACCAAATGAAGACTAACATCTAAACCATATTTAATGTGGAGGGTGATAGTCCGAAGACTTTCCTTGCCTTGTCTCCAATGCGAACAAACTAGGACCGAACGAACACCATTTAGCTGTTTTTTCATTGTTTTTACTTGTTCAGTGTTTTACCCTACACCGAAATGTAACAGGTTTATCTATCTATCGAGCTTTCGAGAAAGCTTCAGTGATTTTTTCGAATCAATGGTTGTTTGAGTATCGACCGAGTCTATGAAGGTGGTAAAACTTATTACGACATATCATTTTGTAGTAGAAACAAATCTGAGTCGAA